ATAGGGGACCCTGGGCCTTACCCCGGCCCCTGTGCCACGAACGACCGACGGGGAGAAGTTCTTTTTTGCCCCCCCCCCCCCCCCTCCCCTGCCTATGATGGTTGAGTTCGTTCGTCCGTTGGTTTGGTTAATTCGAGGCGTCTCCGTACCGCGGCGTTCATCCTCGGCCCCCCCCTCTCTAACGAGACTTCTATGAGTATTCCAAACCGACCGTTACCCAATTAGCAATTTCGGCGTCAGAGGGGCCGTGAGACAGCCGAGCCGTGAGACAGCCGAGCCGGCCGGACCAACACTTGGGTCGCATGTTAACCTCAGCCTCGCCACCTGTCCCAATTTATCCGAAAGCTGGTGGGGTAAAGCGGCGGAGGAGGTATGACGGCGCCTTCAAGCTGAAGGTCGTTCAGCAAGCGCTCAAACGACCGCTGGGCTGCCGGGTCAAGCCCACCTGCCGCGAATTTCCTGGAGTCGATCCGGTACGAGATGCCTTCCCGTCCTCCTGCCGTCATCCCCCGCTTAGCACCCCCCCCCCCCCCTCTCCCCGGGCAGGTTCAACTACGCAAGTGGATCAAGGCCTTTGAAGCGAGCAAATCTCCGCCCCCGCCACACCCTGCCCGGGCCGTGGGCATTGGGGGCTGCTTGCCGAGCAGCGCCGGCTGCACGCTCGAGAAGTGTAGCGAGCTGCACACGGTTCCATTCCCGACCACCATCGGCATTCCTCTTTTTTTCTTCATGGGCATCAACACGCCAGGAGCACGTCACTATGGCTGGCAGATCACCCCCGCTGTCGCTGACTGGGGGCTTCCCCGCTCGATGGCAGCACCTGTCCCGCCCATGCCCTCGTCGCAGCCAGCGCCGCCGTCTGCGCCGCTGCAGCCGCCGCCGCCGCCGCCGCCGCCGCCAAAAAGTCCGCCGATGGTAACCACGCACGCGACGAGTTTTGAGGCGGCAGCGGCAGCGGTGTCCGGTGATGCTCACTCTATCTGCCTGAGCACGGAGCGCACGGCCCCGGCCGCCGCCCGGGGGCGGAGCACGGAACACCAACGCCGAGGACCGGTGGACTAGATATGAAGATATGAGAGAAACACATCGCGTCGTGCGCGCGCGTGCGTCGCGGGATCTGCAATTGCGTGTGTGTGTGTGGCATCTCGTCGTCGGGCTCTGCTGTTCGCACGTCTCTCCAAGTCCAGCGCGAGCGCAGCGCCAGGCTCTAAGTGCGCCAGAGCCGTAGCGTACTCATGTCTCTCCAAGTCCAGCGCGAGCGCAGCGCCAGGCTCTAAATGCGCCAGAGCCGTAGCGTACTCATGTCCATGGTATTGGTATATGAAAAACCCACTCTCGCGGATCTGATATGTGATATCGACCGCTCCGCTGCACCCTCGTGCCCGTCGCCACCCGCACCGAACCGGCTCGCTCGCACATTTTTTAGTGCGGCCTGCGCCACCCCCAAGCCCCATGGATGCCACCCTTTCCACATTTTTTTAGTACATGTAAACTGCCTCTGTCCCGGCGGCACCACGCCGCGACCAGTTCTGTGGCAGCCAGAGCTCGCATTGCTGCCAGCGGCTCCGGTCGGGGATGATTTGCGTGTTGTACGGCTGCGCCAAGATCCCGCGCTGCACGAGGCGGCACCGGTTCTTGACCATGCGCGGCTGCAAGTCGCGGTTGTCGAACGAGCACGGCTTGTGGTGGCAGTAGGCCGCGATGGTTGCGTGCGGCGTCCACAGCCGCTCCGCGAGGACCGACGCGCGCAGCCACAGCTTCTGGTCGAGGAAGAGCTCGTCGGCAACCTCGCCCCACAAGCAAGCCTCCGCACCGAGCACGCGCGACTCCTCCTCCGCGCTCAGCCCGGGCGGCACCAGCTGCGCGTTGATCACCTCCTCCCACACGGTCGCTCTCCCGCCGGTAGAGTAGCCGCCGTCAAAGTAGAAGCCCGATGAGCGGACCGCGCGTCCGCCGGACCGCACGACCGCCGCCATCTCTGCCCTACCGGCCTCG